CTTTGCACATTTCATTATAGTAATTGGCTTTGTCTACTCGAGCTGCTCTTTACAATAGTAGACTAATACAATATTTATCTTTATGTAATTGACTAATGTCACTCAGCATAACGTCCTCTATGTTCATCTGCGTTATGTGGTGGTTTGCAGATTCTACATTATTCTTTAGGGTTGCATAGTATTCCATTGTGTGTATGTACCACAGTTTGGTTATCCATTCCTTTGTTGATGGGTAGTTAGATTGTTTCCAGCTCTTTGCTATTGTGAGCAGTGCTGCAGTGAACATTGGTGTGCATATATCATTTGTGTCCTGTCTCTCCTTTAGAATATATACCTAGTAATGGGATTGCTGGATCAAATGATATTTCTGTTTCCAAGTTTTTAAGGAATAGAAATGATATATTTTATAAATGAAGCTCAAATTATTTAAGTAATATTAAATCTTGGTATGTTTCACCAGAGTCAGAGAGAGGAGCACCTGTTCCTGTGCCACCAAAGAGAACAGTTAAAAGGAATCTACCCAAGCTGGATGCTCAGAGGTACAGTTACTCTCTCCTTATACATTATACTCTTCCTTTACATCTGTTGTTTTTCTTCTTATGTTACAAGTTTTTGTTTAGGATGATTTAGAGATTTCTTTTAAAATTTTTATTTTTTATTCTGATTTGGGTGAAAGTTTACAGAGCAAATTGGTTTTCCATTCAATAATTTATACACATTTTGCTTTTTGACATTGATTGTAATCCTCTTGATGTAACAGCACTCTTCCCCCTTCCTCCCTTTGTTTACCATTTCCCTTCATTCTTCTTTCCTATCCCTTCAGGACTTCTGAGATTATCCCTAGGCAACTGCCCTTTTGATCTCATGCTTGATTATTCTAATGGAGTGTGTACCTCCCTGGTATTATTTTTCACTTATACGGAAATTAAAAAAAAAAAACCCACTGCTGTCAAGCTGCACCTGACTCATAGAGTCCTCCTTGGGTTTCCAAGGCAGTATCACTATGGAAGTAGATTGCCCCATCTTCCTTCTGAGGAGTGGCAGTGGGTTTGAACCGCCAGCATTCTGGTTAGCAGTCAAATGCCCTAGGCACTATGCCACCAGAGCTCCTAATAGGCCTATGTATTATTTGGCAAAAGTTGAGACAAGTGATGGATAAGTTCAGTTTTTGGCTTAAAGGGTTTTTAAGAGCAGTAGTCTTAGGGTTCCACAGATATTTCTAAAGATTTTTTTTTTTTTCTTTCAGTTTAGAAAACTTTTTTTATGGTTTTATGAGTCAGAATTGACTCAATAGCAGTAGGTTTTGGTTTTGGTTTATAGTCTTGCACTTGATGGCTACAGAAAATTGGCAATTGAAAATCTATTTCTATTCACAGGTTAATTTCAGAGAGAGGGCTTCCAACCTTAAGACATGTATTCGATAAGGTAAAATTCAAAGGTAAAGGTCATGAGGTAAGAAATGTCTGATTTTTATTTTGTTTTTTCAAAACACCAAATTGTGGGCTCCATTGTCATGCTCTTAGGAATCTCAGAATCTTTGACAAATTCGCTCATTTATCCTCCTACCCCTTAGAAACAGTCATGTGGTGGAAAGGACACTGTTTGAAAATCAGAAAGCCTGTCTTCTAGTCTCGTTTTGGCCACTGTATAAACACTGATTTTAGGAAAACGCACGCTAAGTCTGAGTTTGTAATTTAGAGAAATAAAATTTGCCCACTTCAAAGAGTTAGAGTTATTTTAAGCTTCTTAAGGGCAAGGACTCTGCCTGGATTGCTCACTTATATATTCTCAAGATCTAGTGCAGCACCTGGCTCATTATAGGCATCAGCAAAGTAGAAAAATGAAAATATTTAAGAACCATGAGTCCCTGTACAAATACATATTTCAGTTCTTTTATTTTTGAATCATATAGATGTGTAGATATAATTTTTTGCAGGTAATCTTTTATGAAGTGTTTTCAATATATTCTCCTTTAATTCTCAAGGAGCTCTAGGGGCACTGTGGTTAAGTGGTTAAAGAATTTGGTTACTAACCAGAAGGTTGGCAGTTCAAACCTTCTAGCACTCCATTAGAGAAAGATGAGACAGTCTGCTTCTGTAAAGACATAGCCTTGGAAACCCTATGGGGCAGTTCTACTCTGTGTTATAGGGTCACTATGACTTGGAATCCACTCCATGGCAGTAGGTTTGGCTTTGATTTTCTGTCTGTGGCGTAGTTGTTAGTTTTATTATCTAGTTAAGGAAAATGGGTTTTAGATTTTTAAGTGTCTACTGCTAAGACTTTGTTTCATAGCCCAGATAGAACAGTGTTAATCCAACAGTACCATTTAGGTGTGGTATGCAGGATAATTTGGGAGACTGGAAGCAGACCAGCGGTGGGGAGGCTATTACTAATATTGGGATGAGGTGATAATCACCTTGGGTGGGGTGGTAGTAAAGAGATGTATAACATTCAGAACTTGTTAGTGATTGTAAAACAAGAGTCAAAACTAATCTTGAGATTTAAACCTGAGAGGCTGAAAAATCATGGCACATTTACTCAGCTGTAATGGATAGAAAGAGAGAATATAAACCTCTTTTTTTGCCACAAGAACTAAACATAAATCAGGATATTTTTAAAACCATACCCAGATTAGTTAATGCATTGCCCTTGTTGAAATTTGTAGGTAGTGGTGATAAATTGGTGCTTTGATTTTATAGTCTTGATCATGTTCAGAATAAGTCCTTTGTTAAATAAACAAGCTTATCTGAAGGATATACATTTCGTGTTTCTTCAGTAAATAAGGATGGGCTTTGAGAGAGTTCACTCTCATTAGATTTCTGTTGGAGTCCTGGTGGCTCGAAGGTTAAGTGCTCAGCAGCTAACCGACAGGTAGGCAGTAGAACCCACCGCCTGTTCTCTCTGTAGAAGAACAAGGCTATTATTAGGTACTGTTGAGTGATGACTCAATGACTCCATGTCACAAAGAGTAAAACTGCCCCATAGGGTTTTCTAGGCTTTAATCTTTACAAAAGCAGATCACCAAGTCTTTTCTCCTGAGGCTTCTGGGTGAATTCAGACTGCTAGCCTTTCAGTTAGTAGCCAAGTGCCTGATTGTGGTCCCGCAGGGCTCCTTAAAACAACAACATGAGTGTTTGCTTTGTGCAGGGTACTTACCTTATTCCATCCTTATGACAGACAGCACTTCGGGGTATGTGTTATTATTAGTCTCATTTTATATATAAGAAATAGGCACAGAAAGGTGAAGTTTTCAAAGTCACAGCTGTTAAGTGGTAGAATTTGAATTTGAATCAGTACATTCTGATCCAGAACCTGTGCTCTTATTTTATTTTTTGGTGAAAATATACACATCAAAACATAAACCAACAATTTCTACGTGTACAATTCATTGACATTGATCACATTCTTTGAGTTGTACAGTCATTCTCTGTATCCTTTTCCAAATTATTCTACTGCTATAACACAAACTCACTGCCTTCTGAGCTTCTCATTTAACCTTTCTGGTCACTGTTGTCAGTTTGATCACAAATGGATAAATCTTTAAAAGAGCACAACACTCAAGGCAACCATTCTGTACTAATTAAGCTAAACTGTTGTTTGGTTTAAAGATAATTTCAATTTAAGGTTTAAAGCTTATCTCAGGGCAGTAATTTCTGGGGTGTCATTGAGCTCAGTGGTAGAGCCTGTGGTCTAAACCACACTATTATATTTTAAAATACTACCAAATGAAGAATGAAATACTACACAGTAAATCCAGAAATTTTAAAATACTACCAAATGAAGAATGAAATATTACACAGTAAAGCCAGAAATATAACTGTTAACTTTTCTCATTCATCAAGTTTAAGCTTTGTTTTCTGTTTTTGTTTAACAAAATTTGAATTAACTGAAATTTGAAATAGAAGTAATGTGGTCTGAAAACAATTAAACTCTTTTTTGCCAGTTATTGGTACTTTGCCGTTGAGATTTTCATCGAATGCTGAAGTCTCGGTGCTTTCTTCCCTGTATATGATTCAGTGATCTGTTTAGATTGGACGATCTACTTCTGTAGAGATGCCTCCTCGGAAACCCAAGGAGGAGGGTTTGCTATGAGTCGGATGTGACTCAACAGCAGTGAGTTTGGTTTTAGTTATTCCTTAGGAGCTCTGCTGGCACAGTGGTTAAACAATTGAACTGCTAATCAGAAAGGTCAGTTTGAACTCACTAGCTACTCCACAGTAGAAAAATGAGACAGTCTGCTTCCCTAAAGATTTACAGCCTTGGAAACCTTATGGGGCAATTCCACTCTGTCTGATAGGGTTGCTATGAGTCGGAATCAATTTGAGGACAGTGGATTGTTTTAGTTTAGTTATTCCTAAAAGATATGTTGGCATTTTATTAAAGCTTATTTTTTTAAATTTTACTTGACAGTTCTGAAAAGATATATGTGTGATTATCTTTTAACTTTTTATTAAGTTTTCACAGATTTTTCTCCTGGTTTCAAAATGTATATATCTCTATACAGTGTTTTTTAGACTCCAGTCCTCTAAGCTCTTACAAGTATTTGTCTTCTTAAAGTTCCTTTTAAGAGTTTCTCAACCTTGTAAATATAAAATAACTCCAGTGACTTTGGCAATACTTTTCAATTCTAAAATCTGCTGACAGGGTCAATTGTGGGAAAGAGTCTTCTATTTAGCATTTTTATTTTTATGTGCCAGGCTGAAGACTTAAAGAAGCTAATCAGACACATGGAGCACTGGGCACATAGGCTATTCCCTAAACTGCAATTTGAGGATTTTGTTGACAGAGTTGAATACCTAGGAAATAAAAAGGAAGTTCAGGTAAGTATTGAGAATAACATGAGTGTCATTTACAGTGCTAACTAGGACAAGGATAGATTTTAGTTGAAGTTTAGAAAGTATGGTGTTTTAACTACTGTTACACTTCTTAAGTGCAATAAAGAAATACCTGATTGTATTTTGGAGAGTTTAGAACAGCTATAGGGATACTTAGTGACGATCCTTGTGAAAGTTTTCTTTTTTTTTTTTTTTTAATCCTGTTAAATGGCTGTTGGATGTCTTCGTTTTGAAATCTTTCTTGGTAGAAGTAAAATGAATAAGTTACTTATTTGAAGAATAAGTCTTTTGAAAATGAGAAATGAGTGAATGACCACTAATATTATTGGTAAAAATGTAGAAATACCTCTTTTTTGTCTTCAGACCTGTTTAAAACGAATTCGACTTGATCTCCCTATTTTACATGAAGATTTTATTAACAATAAGGGTAAGAATATATGTTTTTCTAATTTGCAATCATTTTGCTTTTAGAAATGGTTCTAGTTGGGGTAGACAGTATTATAGGGCTGGGTTCTGCATATGAATTGAAATACAGTAAATGACAGTGTAGGAACGAGTTAAAATGCCTTGGTACATCTAGAATGTCATGTGTGAAGTGTTTCTTAAAGACCTGGCTGTAGTGCCATTGTTGTTGTTGTTGTTATGTGCCGTCGAGTCAGACCTGACTCATAGCGACCCCTCCTTGGGTTTCCGAGGCAGTATCACTACGGAAGTAGGATTACACATATTTAGCCATAGAATAGGAGCTTTTGGGAACTCTGATGGTGATCTGTTGATCCTTTCTAGCATGTGTGAAAAAAGTACATCTGAGAAATTAGGCAGAATGATTAGATGATGAAATAGTTTGCATTTCACTCAGAGTGCAGCTCTTGGATGTAGGACTTTACTAAGACATAAGTGACTGTTCCTAGTAATGATTGCATTGTTAGTTGTACATTGCAACCGTATACAGTCACACACATCAAAACAGATGGTTCCTGCCGACAGAGTCTGTATAGTGATCAGATTTTCTGTGCGATGGCTCCATACATGTGTTTGTGTTTGTTTGTTTTTTTTAACTCTTAATAGAAATAGAAATAGTAGAAAATAATTATTGAAGATTCTATGTACAGACTCTTCCAAAGTTATTTATAACTTACATTTAAAAGTGTGAAGGAAGATGACTTAAGTAATCCGGGATATAAATTTTTGGTAAGTGCATTGGTTACTTCATGCTGCTCTAACTGAAAATATCACAAATGGGATGGCTTTAACAAACAGGAGTTCATTTTCTTAACAGTTTTGGAGGCTGGAAGTCTGGGTTCGGAGTGCCAGGCTGTAGGGACTAGGTGAAACCCCTTGATCTTGGGCTTCAGCTCTGCCTCTTTCTTCCAACCCACTGAAGCTAGAGGTGTTTCTTCACTCGTGCAGCTGTTGGCTGCTGAGGCTGACACACTTAAGGTCAACAAGTAAAAAGACATAGTCCAAATATTACCAAACTGTACGTCAGACCATTGATTCAAGTCCATTAAGAGTCCCAAGATCAGCAGACAGCATGGCAGCTGCTGAATGACTCAGCTGCATGCAGGATTTAAACATGCCAATAGCTAGAGACCTTCTTCAAAAGTTGCTTCTTATATACTAGAAGCAAACCGTATCCCTAAAGCAGCTACTCAGCCGATCCAGTAGATTCCACCATGGAGCTGATTACCAGTCTCACCATGGGGAATAACTGCATCCAGCTGCCCAACCACTCAACCAGGGCTAGCCAGGTTGACACATAACCTTAACTACCACAGTAAGATATATGTGTTGGATTTGATACATGGAACGGCATTAGTTATTACTGTACAGATTCCCACAGCATATACCACTGGTTTAGGTTATTTATTCAGCAGCACTTTTTGAGCTGTAAATAAGAACAGGCCCCTTACTTCACAGCCTAACAGACCAATGAGAGAGGCAGACATACAATGTCCCCAGTGGTCTGGTCAGTGCCTTAATTAAAAGTTTGAATTGCACAGAGTGGGGTATAAAAAAGCTTAGTTACCCTTACATAACAACCAACCAGTTGACTGACTTATTGTGACTCCATGTGTGTCAGAGCAGAACTGTGCCTAGGAGAGAGGACAGCTTCACAGAGGAGGTATCACAAGTATTTTGATTAGTAGTAAAGGTCAGGCAAAGGTGATTTTAGAGGGAGCTGCTTGTGCAGAGGCATAAGTTAACACAGAACATTCAAGAATTCAAGCACCTAAAATAAAGGGTACAAGGAGGCCTATATCACAAAGAGCCTTGTTGAATATATTTTTTGGGGGATCAGGCACCACAACCTTAAAACGGTTTTGATCATTTTATTTATTTTTAAATACGTGTACTACTGTAAGGAGCTCTGGTGGCGTAGTGCTGAAGGTATTTGACTACTAACAAGAAGGCTGGTGGTTCAAACCCACCAGCCACTCCTCGTAAGGAAGACTGGGCAATCTACTTCTGTAGTGATACTACCGCCTTGGAAACCCAAGGAGGTGTCGCTGTGAGTCGGATCCAACTTGATGGCAGTGTGCTTGGTTTTTTGCATTTGGTGCTATACTGATGAGGGAGACAGCCCCACCCCAGACACAGGAAAGGGAGTGAACGCGGGATGACAAAGTGGCAGGATTCAGGTAGGATCCAGGTAAGGGGAGGCAGAGAGGTTTCGAACAGCTAAGGGAGACAAACTTGCCTGTCACTTTGTCTTACTCTGGTGGCTTGCGCGTTGCTATGAGTCTTGAGGCTGTGCCACCGGTGTTTAAAACGCCAGCAGGGTTGCCCATGGTGCCCAGGTTTCAATGCAGCTTACAGACTGAGACTAGCAAGAAGGAAGAGGCCATCCACTTCTCAAAGAATTGGCCAGGAAAAACCTTATGAATAGCAGAAAAACACTGTCTGATACATTCCTGGGCAAGTTTATGAATAGCCCAGAAACATTGTCTGATACAGTACAGGAAGATGAGCTCCTTAGTTTGGAACACACTAAAAATAAAACTGGGAAAGAGTTGCCTCATCAGATTAGAACCAACCTTGATATGGATAAAGTAAAGTTTTCAGGACCTCCATTTGCTGATGTGGCACGACTCAAATTGAGAAGAAACAGCTGCAAACATCCATTAATAATCGGAACATGGAATGTACAAAGGGCAAATCTAAGAAAATTGGAAGTTGTCAAAAATGAAATGGAACTCATAAAGGTTGATATCTGTGATAGTTGAAGATGTGTCAACTTGGCTGGACTCCAGTTGTGAGTGGTGGTTCCCATGATGGATCACATGACTGAGTTCTGAGCGGCCGGTCTGCCCA